TGAATCCTTGACTGTTAGGCTAGTTGAAAAATATATATGCAGGTGGAAAATTAATATTTGTGGAAATTATTTGGTAATGCCTCTTGAAATGAAATAAAAAGTGACTATTTTTATGGTTTGCAACCTTTTCTTAATCAGTAGAATATAATGGCTTATTGCATGCCAAACGACTTCCCAAAGCCATTACTTTAAAAAAAAAAGAACAAAAAAGCCCAAGAAACCCCACCCCCCACCACCTTTTTACTCTTTAAAGCTGAAGAGGATGCTGTGTTAGAACTGTGTGTAGATCCCTCCTGTCCCTCCAGAGCCACAGAACACTGCACTGTTCTTGGACATGAGCTTTTCCTTCCCCTTCTTTTTAATTTTGTTGGTCATGCCAAATGTGAAATATTCGTCAGTAGAGTGATTCACATTCTCATAAATCATTCACACACCTCTAAAGGCATACGTGGGCTTAGTTCATTATTTTGGCTACTTTTCTATGTTTATATTTGGTAATTTATGTGCCTTTTAATGTCCTAGAAAAATAATTTTGTAGGATTATTTCACTGACTGTATAAATTTACAAATGAAATAAATTTTTTTAAAATACTCATACATTTTGAAAGTCTTATTTATTTGTAATCTGTCATCCTCCCTTTGCTTCCTACTGACCAGATGCTTACAATATACAATACTGCTTGCTGCCCTAATAATGAGCTAGACAAAGAAAGGGGCAAGCAGATAGCACAGAAATACCCAAATTTTATTGAAAATTAATTTTCCTTTGCAGGGAAGCAAAACATTCAAAACTATCCTAATATATTTTATTAGTACTGATTGGTGTTTTTCTCTATTTTCTGATGTTTAATTTTAAAACATGCGTCTTATGATCTGCTCCTGTGGTCTTTAAAATTAACAGCAGAATGTCTGCAGGCTAGAATCAAGACTGTCTTTCATGTTCCATGCCTTATTAAAATCAGCATGTTGTATCTCACTCCTGTGGAACAGGCACAGTTCACCATCTAGAAATATCTGCTAAATACAAACAGTTCGCAACTGCTTGGTGCAGCAGGACATAATTCCAAACAGGTTTTCAGAAAGAAAAGACACACAGCCTTTTATTCTTATTTTGAGACACTTTCTAGGAAGATTAAACATATATCCAAGCAATAAATCCTTTGGATTTATTAGGAAGACCCAGTTGTCATAGAAGCGAGTCATGCCCCTTTTTCTGCTCCCTTATGGCAGCAGAACACAGACCACAAGCAACATCACTTTTTAAAAAAAAAGCTGCTCAGCTGAAAAATGTCAGGATCTTAATATAAGCACTGAGAGATCTGTTTTCAAATGAACAGAGGGGGGGGAAAAAAAATCACTCCTGAAAGTGTGAGACGTTTATTTTGAAATAATTAGTTGGATTTCACAGAATCGTAGAATTGTTAAGGTTTGAAAAGCCCTCCAGGATCATCAAGTCTGACCTTTATTTCCATCATCCAAGACTAAGTTTGCATTACTATTAATTTGGTTTTTTTTAAATATTTGAAGGGGTTTACATATTAATAAATCAAGAGCAGATAATTATAAGAAAGGTATTCCTAGTTTTATCCAAACCAAGATTTTAAACTAAACATGAACTGCTTTGCATGCTTGGACTGTAGCTATAAAAATAGTCTTTTTTTGATTCAGGGTACTCAAAAATCTTTTTTTAAAAAAATCATCTCATTAAAACAAGTCCTCACTTAAAACTTCAACTTTGCCAGTTCCAGAATGGAACTTTATATGGACCTATAAAAGATTTTTTTCAAGTACTGCCACTACCACCTAATCTGTGTAAAAAAGTTAGGACTTACTGCATTTGACTGCATTGGTGTGGGTGTGGATAACAGAGGAGGAAATTAAAGCAGGAGCATCCATAAAGCAAACAAAATTAAAAAAATGCAGTAAGCTGGTTAGCACTGGAAGAAGGGGTTGGAGTTAACTGTTGTTACACAACTGTTGCTGACCTGATAAATGGCATTTTCTTAGTGTATTAGGTCCTGTAGCAGTGTAGGAATTGGGAAATTTGTTAGGAGCCTGAGGCTCTATTTCTGAAGCCAAAGCTGAGCAGCAAAATCTTGCTCAAAGAGGTACAGCCCTACAGCCCTTGTTGCAATGATGGGGGCAGAGCAGCTTAGATCATTTCTAGGATGAATGCTATGTAGTGATCTTAGCTAACTCTACTGCCCTGTAACATGCCTGAATTTCAGTTTTGAGGGGGTTGGCAGTCCTAAGAAGTTCAACTCGTATGATCTGCAACAAAGCCTCTTCTCAAAGGCCTTGTAGACCAAACCTCATGGGAACTCCAGCTGGCTGTGAATAAACTGTGCTAAACCTCGAGACAGATAAATTATGGGAGATTACTTGTGAAAAACATTATTATTGTATAATGTCAAATATGCCTCACCATGCTGGAAGGCATTCAGAATTAGTCTAGAAATGTAACTAACATCTGTTATTGCTTGTTTTAGGAAGTAGCTTCTGTCACCTTGCTGTTCACGCATTACCTGGAGGTTTTCTTCCAAGCAGGATTATTTACATCACTGACTGAGGATAGTTTTTTTTCATACCTGTATTATAGTGATAATTGCTTGTTCCTTTGCATTACCACCTTTTTTTTTAACAGCAATTTAAAGAAGATATGTAAAATCCGTGGTAGCTAGCTCAAGGGCTGCTGGTGGGGCTGAGAGAAATGAAGAGGCAGCATGTGTGTGGGAAGGTACAGCAAGCTCCTTGTAACTTAAGACCCAACACTGAATTCATTACACATGTTCATTTTAGATCTGGAAGATGAGCTGTTTGCCACACTACAACATTACAGATGCATCTGCTGGAAATGCTGACAAGGGTTTGGTTCTTTTTGGGCTTACACTTTGTACTGCTCCATTGGCTGCTGCCCTGCAGTACCTAACAGCTACAGTGCTGCTTCTTTGCTCTGTCTCCTGCTTTCTTAGCCTGTGGTATGTTACCTAAAATAACGTGGAACAAACTGGTGGGATCATGCAAATGTTTATGGGGCTGGACAGGTTTGCCCAGACTCTGAAAAAACTGCTGGCACCACTCGTGCCTGATGAGCTGTGTCCCAGGAATTCAGTCTGTCACTGCCAAATCCACATGCTGAAGTCACCTGTGATCCTCAGGGCCCACTGTGGTGCCACCCACCCTTGTGGAGACACAGCTTCTGTGTCTTCCCAAACTTCAGGATGTTCTGCTCTGAACACTGTCTCTGGCATAATCAGTGTATTTTAACAATATGCAGCAGCAGATGGTTTCCCTTGCTGTTACTGCAACAAAGACAGTGCTATCACAGTCATGGAGAGTCAGCCTTTCATTCCAGCTTACCAGCACTGGGCTTTGCCTGCCAGGAGTTTTTGAAGCGATCTGTGAGACGATGCTTTCAGAAGATGAAGAAGAAAAAAAAAAGGCATAGTCGTACTGTCAATGGTCTAGATAATCTACATGAAAAGGTGCATTTTAACAACCTCTGAGGTGAATTAAACACCTAGGACTGGGGGGAACAAGGACAAAATTCCTACTGTGTTTCATATTTGTTTAGTGCAGCACTAAGAAGGAGAGGGAAGACATCTACAGGGAGAGAGCAGCTCTAATCTACAGAGCTCTCAGCCTTGCTGTTCAATGGTACAGTTCAGGTACCTATTGCTTGTACACTACTGAACTGCAGTATTTACTGCAATTAACGTTACCCCATAACTTAAACCAACAACAAGTGCTTTTATTTACCCAAATAACTTCCCAGATTCAGTTGAGCCTGGCCACTGGGACAGTTAGTTGTTTATGTTATAGGAACTTCCTTTAAAATAGCTTTTTGTAATCTAGAACTACACACTCCCAAATCTTCTGACGGGTTTTGTAGCTGTAGGAATGAATTTGAATTTCAAAACAAGGACTCCTGCAAAGCACAGATATCTCTGGATTTCACATGCAGGAGGGGGAGAGAGAAGAGCAGGAACTGTGACTGGTTGCACGAGGTTATTGCAGTGGCTTTACATTAAAGTGTTCATGGTACTAATGCAAGCACAGACTTGTCATCCAAGCCCCTGCTGTATGACTGAGCACAAGAGACTGATGGTTATTTGCTCCCCTTGAAGATCTGGGGGAGCAGGATGACAGAGAATGAAGAGGAAAATGTATTAAGCTTGAAACATCCCAAGTGACCAACTAAGCACAAGTGCTGCTTAAATGTCTTCACATGACCTACTGTCCTGTTAAGATTGAAATTCACATTTCAAATTAAGGTTTAGTGTATTTTATTATAATTCAATGCATTTTCACTAGACTTAAAAAAAAAAAAAAATAGCTATGACCGGTTAATACACTGAAGAGAGCAAGTGCCAGCAACCAAAGGAAAATGAAGGCATTCTTCTGCCAAGGACACAGTTTTTTTCAGCCCAAACAACACTTTATTAATATTGAAAAGTCTCCCTCTTCTCAACTCCATTCTGAAGGCTAAGCCAGGAAACTCATTGTGTCAGGACTGCGCTCCTAGGACAGCATCAGACACTACTGAGAGAGGTAAAAGATGAAATACATAGTTCAAGGCGGGGGGAAAAGAGCCTCTAGAGTGTAAAGTAGGTCAGAAACAGGGCCAGTGCAGTACTGAGTCCATGCATAATGCTCTCTGGGAAGAAAGAAGAGCTAGATCCTTAGTGTTTTATCATGTTCCAACAAACTCCCCTCCTCTACCAAGGCAGTAGCTCGAGCACTAGTTTGAAAGTCTAATTGTAACACATAGTTCAGGTAGCTCTAAATAGGCAATGGTAGCTTCATGTTTGGGAAAGGGATTATAGACACTGCTGGATACAGAGTATTTAGAAAAGGTTTCTGCATCATAACAAGTCCACCTATGCAGTGCAGAAATTTTAGGAAATGAACCGTCCAACAGATTATGCAGTAACTGTTTTCCTGTTTGTTTTCCAGAATTCTGAGAAGGGCAGCACTGCCCTCTTGTGGTAATAAAGGAGAACAATTAATAATAAGATTTTTAATGTTTAACTTCCACAATTCATTATAAATACTTACAGACTCAAATTCACATCAGAAAAATGAGGAGAACAATAATTAGACTCATAATAAAACAGCGTTCTTGATCTATGTATACAGGATCTGTAAAGGTTTCTATTTTTTTAACTGGTAACAAAATGATGCTATTTGTAAGGACTCAGCATGAACCTGCTTTTCTTTGTTTTGAAAAAGGCACTAAATTCCTAAGCATTTCAAAAGTCATTAGGAAACGAAAGAGAAATGCTGTCACCTGCATATTCAAATATATATATATATTTATGAACAACTTTCTACATGAGGACTTAGAGCTTATTGAAGAGCTTGAAATAAGCATCAAAACCAACACGTGGGAACCTGAGCTGTGCCTAGGCCAGTCATATGCAGACAGACAGACAGACATCAACTGACCAGACAGCACACACATACTGACCGACTGCAGGCAAGGAGGCCACTTCCAGGTGAGAAAACCCATCTCACTCCTTTGACAGGGAAGCAATAAAACATGCACAAACAAACAAACAAACAAACTTGGCAAAACCTTAGTGTTCAGAGTTAGTTCTTAAGATTTTTAGTGAATGTTTCCACACGTTGTCCCACAATGGCAAAGTACTGCTGAGTCTTCATATGGAAACAGCAAAAGCCACATTATGAGCAGGTGCCACTTGGCTGCAGAAACTGGCAAGTTATGGGCAATAAAAGTCCTCTTCTCTTCGGAAGCCACGTGTTATCCCACCTGCCACTAAAGACACAAACAGCAAAACACGACACGTTTGTATGAAGATAGGGAAAAGAAAGGAAAAAACCCAACCAACCGACCACCACAAGGTTGTCCAACTGCAGTAAATTCTACAATAAAACACCTTTTATACCCAGCAGGTGAGGGACATGCAGCGTACCAGTGGCATCTTACAAAGACTCCTGCCTCCTGAGTCAAAAACAGCAATGAGGGTGAAAGATGAAGGCTTGAGAAGCTTGATTTTCAATGATCAGATTGAATTCTCTATTGCTTTAGAGAAGTTATAATTCTTCATTAAATCTCTGCCTGGCCTTCTGAGGGAAAGTTTACATTAGAACAGCAGTGACAGTGAAGTTCATCCATATTTATGCCAACACTGCATGTTTCTTTTTTAAAGAGACAGAGATACATGAAACCCAAGGCCATCTCCCTACTTAGTTCAAATGCTTTCTATAAACTCTGAGAGAAGAGAGACATCTCAACCAGCATTGAAAAGGGACATAGAATACAGGACAACACACTGATGAGGTCCATAGTGCTGAGAAACATGTAAAACTGATGCATCACAGATGCAGAAAACAGTGGAGAGGAAAAAAAAACCAACCTCTCTGCCATCCCTGCTGTGTTTGTGTCCCAGTAATGAAGTCTCATTAAGAACACTGCATGATAATGACATGGGAAATACCTCCATTTCTACTCAATTTCCCTTCTCTTGGTTTTTCCTCAAGTTATTCAGCCTTGTACATGACAAAACAGGATTTTCTCAGTTGAATCACACTGTTTCTTCTTGAAACTTACTCTCAGCCCTCCTTCTCCTCCAGGACGTGAAGCTGCCATTCTTTTTTCTATTTCTTCCTGTTTCTTTTTCTTCTGCTCTACAGAGTAAGCATTCTTAATACCTCGAGAGGAAGCCTGGGAGAAAACACACCTGGGTAAGACCAAGTTAGCTATTTTTCTGGGGAGAAAACAAACTGCAAGTCTTGGCAACACCGTTTTGTGAACTGTGGTTTGCGTGAAAAGACTGAAACATTTAGTAATGATATCATCACATCAAGGTAGCCCTTTTAGGATACTGCCTCATACTGTGAGCCATAGGTAAGTGAGGGTGTTTTGTTTCATACTGTTATTACATCCAGGTGAATATATTTAATGCAATTACATGTGCCTGCTCTGCATCCACAGATGCAGAACCAGAACCTCTGTTCCCAAAAGTCCACAGATTTGTAGTCTGTGGTTTTTCCAGTGTCAGGGCCTACTCTTGCAAAACAGGGGAGAAAAGAGGTTGTGCTAGTAGTGCTAGCCCAGGCTGTGAAGCCAATTCAACTTTCAAATTGTGATCTGTGAGAAATAACCTGTGTGAGAGTCTACCCTTCAAACTTTCACAGGCTGTGTGGATAGCAGGAATACAGATGAAAAACCTGTTAACTGTTTCACATCCTTGTGGTGACTGACTGCCTTTTAGAAAACTGGTCTTCCAAGTGAGTGAGGTACCCAAACTGTCTACAGCACCCTAAAAGGAAGAACAGCTCACAGGACTTCAGACTGGATAATGAGCAGTTAAGAAGCATTTACAGGAAAACACTAAGCAGAGAAAGACATCTCCATTACCCAACATTCAGAGGCTAAAATGCTCTCAAAGATAGCAATGAAAAAAAATCCTGGTAGATGTTTTATCTCTTTGTCTTTCGAGAAAACAAAAAAAGTAAGAGAGTGTGATACTTCTGGTTTTCTTTAGCAGCCTAACAGGTCCTACAAAACTTCAAGGTCATCCACAACCCAAGTTGCTTCATTTTTCCTTTCTCTTTAGCCAGTTAAGAGCTAGGTATTTCCTACAGTTCTACTTAAAAACCCCTTTGCGATTGAAACCCATTTGTGATTAAAAATAACACGTGGATTGCTTTTAGTACATAGTATGAAACAAAATCAAGAGTTTTGAGAGGACTCTAAAGCATCACTCAGCCTTTGCTTCAATTATTTACCAAACTCTCTTCAAACAAGGCCAACACGGTCCCCACGATCAATGGTCGATTTCTAATTCAATATTTAAATGTCACTGACATTCATAAAAATAACACATTCATTTCTCTTCACAGTTCAGCTGTGGTCTCTGAGATACACCATTCAAAATCTACAATAAGTAAAGAGTTTATTTATAAGCTTTTTTAGGAGGTATGGAAGGAAAAAAACCAGACTGGCTAGTTTATGGTCTGCTAGAACATTTGCATCCTACCTTTTCTAACTTTGAAGATATTGAAAGAGTTAAAGCTTAGCAACCTAAAAATATAGAAGAGTAAGTTCATACTAAGTCTTTGCAGGAGTTTGAGCTAATAAACATGCTCAAACTGTTGCCATGTTGATAAACTGAAGTTGTAAGTGCGTATAACTGGCATTTTTTTAAGAAGAACAAACAACTGTTTGACTGCTCTGGTTTGAAATATTTCTCAGTCTCTTGTTTTGAAGTCTCAGAACGAGGAAAAAATAGTCTTGAACTTTCAATTCTTAGGTTGTTTTTTTTTAATTACCATAAAACTTCTCCCATCCAAACAAACTTAGTTACCTGGCAATGGTCTTTGAGCATCTACCTAGCTGTGAAACTCTTAATATATATATAAAAAGGTACAAAAAACATTAATAATACTAGGACATTATTTAATGACAAATCCCACAATCCAAACATGACATCCAGTATGCCCGCAGAAGTCCCAGCTCTTTTCCCCATAAAAAGTAATTTGAATAAATGGCATTTTATCAGACGTTACCTCCATCTGCCTCTTTTCAGCAGCTTCTGCCAGCTGTCTTCTTTTTATTTCCTAAATAAAATGTTAAAGACAGTGAAATTCTATTCCAATACAGTCTGTGCACTTTTAAGTCTTAATTTTTAAGCATGACTCAAATCTGTAATGCGAACTGCCACTAAATGTCAACCTCAAGTCAATTAGCATCATCCTTCCCTCCACTGCCAGGCGGCAAGAACGAAGTGTTTTCAGTGACTAATATGCCAGAAGAGCAGCTGCTGGCACATTTACCGCCCAACCCCACCAGAAATCATTATTCAGCTTGTCTGCATCACGCCTTCGCTCCAAAAATCCAGGCTGGGCTGAGAAGGCGCGCAGTGTGCATCCTTTCGGGAGTTTGGAAGGGGAACGCTCGCTCTTCCAGGCCAGAGGGGCTCCCCTTCTTCTCCCCCACGACATCCTGAGCCGAGGGGCAGAGAGCTCAGAAGAGGGCTCTCACCCACCCAGCGAGAGCAAACGCCACCCGGTGCAGGGCAGGTAGAAGCGAGCACCACTACGCACTGAAGAGATAAGCCCAATCCTTCTCATTTCTCGCTAAAATGTGGGTCGAACTGGCCACGATTATGTACAAACACCCCCCACGCGAACACCTCCCCCCCCCCCCCCCGGTCTCCGCACACCCGCACCGGCGCCCAGACGCGGCCCGGGGGTCAGACCACCAGCGGGCGGCCCCGGGCCCGCAGCTCTCCGCATCCTGGGCCGAGGGCCGGGCTTCCTTTCCCCGGCACAGCCGCCGCAGCAGCAGCCGCCACAAAACCTTTTTCCTCGGCGAGCGCTGCGCGGAGCCCCGCGGCGCGGCCGCCATGTTGAGGGGGGAGGTCACCGCCCCCGCGGCGCTGGGCGGCACCGGTAAACAACCGGGCGGGAGGAGGACGAGGAGAGAGAGAGAGGCTCGGGGGGTTCGGTCGCACACTCACCGGGTCGGGCGTCTCCACCGCGTCCTTGGCGGCGCCCCCCAGGCAGGGCAGGCACTGCCCCATGGCGGGACCGACCGCCCGCAGGCCCCGCGGCGGAGGCGGCCGCGCCCCACCCACGGCCCCGCGCGGCGGCAGCGCCCGCCCCGCCCTGGGCCCGGCGCGGGGGCCGGGCCGGGCCGGGCAGGGCCGGGCGACGTCCCTGCGGGAGTTAATTAAAAGGAGGTCGTTCTGTGGCGGCAGAGGGCCCGCTGTGTGATTGGTTTCCCAGCCGGGGCCGGGCTCAGGGCCCGCTGGCGGCAGGCAGTGCTCCCGTTCCCCGCCCGGCGCTGCCGGAGCGGGGCTGGCGAGGGCCGGCGTAGCTGTCACCCGGTGGTGTCTCTTTCTGGCTGTGGGTATGATGGATGGAGTTAAATCTAGAGGGGTTCAGAATTCTAAGGTAACAAGCAGCTGCAACTCCCTGGACGGACTGAGGTCGGCATGCTGCCCAGCATAAACAGCGACAAACATCTGCTCAGAGGAACAGAACGGAGCGTGGCACGAATTGGAGACTACCCGGCCCCCTCTCCATTCTCATCCCAGCAGAATGGGACAACATTGCGGTACTGAGACCGTACAGTACCTGTGTGACTAGGGAGAATCGGGATGTTCTGCTGAAGCCAACAACCGTGTCGAACCCCCTCCTCAGGTGCCAAACCACGAAACCCCTCCCCCCCCCATTAGGTACACCAATCAGAAATAAAAGGTATTTATGACTAGAGCCACTCAAACTCCACCCAAACATAAAGCACATAGTATAAAAGTGAGTTGGGGATAGAGGGAAAGTTGGAGAAGATCTCCACTGAAACTGCTGGCATCAGTCTATGGGCTGAGTCCATCCTTCCCCCTCCCAGAGGGATGCCTTGGGTGAGAAACATACTCTAAGTGCGTTAAATGCTGTTTAGGGCTAGAGCTTTTGCTTGTGCTTACCCCATACCATATTAATTAGATTGCTTTGTATCAGAGCTTGTGCTTGCGTAATATGTGTATCAGTAGCTTGCTTTAAAACATATTTTTGCAGTAGGCACTATCACTGACAACCATTGAACCTTATTGACCTGTCACAATTTGTATTAATAAAAAGGATTATTCCATAAACTGTTAAAGTGAGTCCTTGCAGTTGCCAGCAGCAGAAAACACCTTGGCAGGATCCGCTGAGCAGTTCTGGCTCTGTTGAGTTCCCCCTAATAAGGGAGGTCAAGGTCCCCTCTGATCTTGTGAATCTGTTGGTGAAGGGTCTCCTTACAAGGTGTTGACAGACTGTCGAACACCAGGGTCTCAACTCCAGCATTACCCTGTTCAACAGCATTTCCTGAATTTGAGTGTTGGAGCAGGCACCCGTTCCCAAGGGTTATGTGGAGACTGTAATATGTATTCTCATGCAATGTCTACCCAGCTTCTTGTCTGCCTTTGTGATTTTGAACAAGGTGTATATTTTTGCACCTCTGTTCTTGTCCCGCCATTTATTCCATGAGCCTATGATGTCATACATTACTGTAAAGTACGAATTTAAGTTTCTGTGTTTGTTCCCTGCAGCTGTAATTAGGCATAGAATCATGTAGTTTGTGTAGAATCATAGCATGGTTAAGGTTGGAAGGGATCTGAAAGACCATCTGGTTTCCAAAGCCCCTGTCATGGGCAGGGACACCTTCCATTAGACCAGGTTGTTCAAAGCCCCATCCAGCCTGGGCTTGGACATTTCCAGGGATGAGGCACCCACAGCTTCTCTGGGCAACCTCTGTCACTGCCTCACCACCCTCCTCTTAATATCTGATCTAAATCTACCCTCTTTCAGTTTAAAGCCATTCCCCCTTTAAAGCTAGTCGTATCACTGCATGTCCTTGTAAACCTCTCCAGCTCTCTTAAGGTATGCCCCCTTAAGGTACTGGAAGGGCTCTAAGGTCTCCCTGGAGCTTCTCTTCTCTAGGCTGAACAACACCAACTCTCTCAACCTGTCTGTGTAGCAGAGATGCTCCAGCACCCTGAAGGTCTTCATGGCCTCCTCTGGACTTGTTCCAACAGGTCCTTCATATGTTGGGCCCCCAGAGCTGGATGCAGCGCTCCAGGTGGGGTCTCACGAGAGCAGAGTAGTGGAACAGAATCACTTCCCTCGACCTGCTGTTCACACTGCTTTTCATGCAGCCCAGTTGGTTTTCTGGGTTGCAAGTGCACATTGCCAAGTCATGTTGGGCTTCTCACCCCCAAGTCCTTCTCTTGAGGACTGCCCTCAATCCATTCCTTGCCTAGCCTGTATTTGTGCTTGGGATTGGCTCGATCCACGTGCAGCACCTCACACCCGGCCTTGAACTTCCTGAGGCTCGCACAGACACACCTCTCAAGCCTGTCAGGTCATCAGAGGGGGTTACTGCATTGTTGAACTAAGTACTTCACACAAACCACAACATTGACCTGGGCTTTCTGGCCATCGAAAGTCTCACTGGCATAGTGGGAGACTGATGAGGTGTGCTGGAAGGGGGAGCAGAAGGAGGCTCACCTGCTGCCCGTCCCTTGCTAATGAGGCTGAGATTGTGTGCAGGTGGGCACAAAAGTTCAGCAGAGCAGCTTGGCTGTGTTGTGTTGTCCTGGGAGCTGCGGTGGAAGTGCTGCAACTTTCCTGCTCCACAGTGTAGTGTGTTAGGAATTAACTTCCTGCTTTGTAATGAAAGCATTTTTTTAAAATGTTATTTATTTTTAGAGTGTCGAGGTTCCATTGTTTTGTGGAACTTCAAGTGCTCAGTATTTGTCAGGCTTCAGATTAGAACTGTTGGATGTGTTAAGATTTAGAAGAAGATTGACAGAACTTGCTTGGACAGAACTCTGCATGGAGAAAGAGAGCACAGCTTTCTGAAGGAAGTGTGACTTGATCAGACACGTAACTGAAAAGGTGAGTTGTTCAGGAAAAACCTCGGTTCTTTTAATGTACCTACACAAGAGAGTCAGAAAGTTGTGAATTGAGAAGTAGCGGGAAACATAGTAACAATTTGTGATCTGTATCAAAGGGCTTACAAGTTGTCACTGATGGTTTTCAAGGCTGATGATTTTGTTGCTGAAGTAAGAACTCACTTAGATTGAGGTCCTTTACTAGCTGCTTCTTTTGGGATATCCCCAGATTGTTAATGTCTGGTAGCTCAATAGTAGCAGATGATGGGGGCGTGTGTGTTTCTTCTTCCACCCTGCCAAAAAACATTGTAGTGGAATAACACATTAGTTATGTAATTAACTTAAAAAACCCCCACCAAACCCCACACTTAACATTGTCATTAACAGTAGTAGCACGTTGCTTTTAAATGGGGCCACTAGGCTGATTGGTTTGATTTTTTTTTTTTTTTTAATTCATCTGATAAATTGTATGTAGTGAGTTTTGAATTAGCAAGAAATACCTATTGAAAATATCAGTGACCTTTCTGCAGGGTTTTGGCAGTGCATTAGAACATCTGGCAATTTGTTGTCTATTCGTTTGTAACAGTTTAGTTATGGTGACATTTTTGTAAGTATCGAATTATACCATAACTTTTATAAATGTTGATTAGTCTCTGACCCTTATCTTCATGATATCCAGCAGGTGGTACTATTGACACTAAAATTTCCTGTATTTCCCAAATCCATAACCACACCTTCAGTTTACTGTTTCAGTTTGATATTACAGGCAGTTGTATTATTGCTATTGCATGTAAACCTAGCAAGAGAAACCATTTCTGACTGATAGTTTATGAAGTTATTGTGCTTATATGTTTGTATAACTGATATAACATATATATTATGTTTATAAAGTTCTCATGCTTATTTAATTATTTAAAAAGTAAAACTCATTTATTCTGAAATTATAGTTAGATTTTAACTTGGATCTGTTCGGTTACTTATTACACCTCTCTTGCAATCATTTTAATTTTAAACTTTAGGAATCTTTCCTCAAGAGACAATGAGTGTCTGTAGGAGTGGCCATGACTCAATTGTAACTGTGGTTTGAAAATCAGAAGTTCTTGCTTTTGCTATAGATGGCTCTTAAAGCAACTTTCCAGAAAAAGCCTAGAACAGCTTAGTGCCAGGCTGTCTGCTGGAAAAGTAGCGGCAGCATCTCTGGATGTTTTTATAGTTTTTTGTGGCCCTGATGTTACTTGTAGTCATTACCCACCAGTTTAAATACCAATAGGAAGCCTCTTCAGCTAATCAATGCTGTGATTGCTTTCCCTGGGAGCAGCGAAGCCCTGATGGGCAGTGATGTGTGCCAGGTATCCCTGCGGCTGGATTAGCACTGACACTCTCCACAGCAGTTCCACTCAGTCAGTCTCACTTAGGCTGTTCCTTCTCTGGCTGTATGGTTGCATGTCACCATCCTTGTGGAGCAGGAAATTAAAGGGGACAATCAATTTCTGGCTGTGAAAGAGTTCATGTATGTGTGTAAATGCCACCTGCAGTACAGGGGAATGTGCTTGTGGAGCCCTGTTGGTTACAGACCGGCAGGTCAGGCTGGAAGGGAGCGATCCCACCACTGCCCTGGCCTCTTTGGGGCCATTTAGGTGCTCTATAAAATATGTATAATTCAGCCAATAAGTTATGAGAGATAAAATACGATTTTTTTATATATATGGGCCTATTGCGAAGTTGTAAGATATCCAAGTTCCAAATGGGTGTCAGGGTCTTTTTTGGCCGGATAAGGGAAATATGAAAGTTCTTAAAAATTAAAATCTTTCAGGGCCATGTGGAAATTTTGTACACAGGGGTTTCTTCTCCCTCTTTGGTCTAAGAACATAGGAAGATCCATAATTTTTGACAGAGGACGCCTCGCAGCCAATCAGAAGGAAGGGAAAGCCTCTTTTTCAGAGAAAAGAAACCTTTTTAGGCAAAAATGAATATACTGTACTTATCTGAAAAGGGTGGGATTTTGTGAAACTATAAAATGTACGGAATTTAATTCCAAAGGGTCTTTCTCCCTGAAAAACTCAGTGTAAGACCAGACCCAGCGCGCTGAATAAATTCTTTCTTTCGTTTCATGAGTTTTTGCCATCTTTCTAAATTTAAAAGCGGAATTTTTCCCACAAGTGGTTAGATGCAAGAAATTCTGCTGCACTTTGGGCATACCGACTAGCATGAAGTTGGCAATGGTGCTGGTTTTAGAGCCTCAGCTGCTTTTTTCTGGCCCCTTCATGTTTGGGGGGGGCCTTCCATGCAAAGTCTTCCATGCAAAGCACAGTTACTGGAGTCACCAGCTCTGAGTATTGCTGTGAGGAATAAACAAAAATGTAACTCTGATGATTTTTATTTGTAGCATTTTATTTATATATGGGGAGGTTAATTCCCACCAGAAAAGTCATGAAAT